TGCCCTGGCCTGGAATCCTGATTTCCTCCATTATGTTGTCACCCTTCTGTTGCCAACTGAAGGGTGCCAGTGCCTTTTGGCCCCATTTGTGGTACTCTCCCATTCTGTTTACTCATGTAGTTAAGCACATAATAATTCAAAAAAGATTTGAAATGTCCTAAGAGATATATACCAGAGAGAAACCAAGATAGTGGCAAAGGAAAACGCTGGCACTTGCATCCTCCCACAACCACATCAAAATTACAACTAAAATACACAACAACCATCATTCAGAACCACCTGAAATCTGCTGAATGGAAGTCCTATAGCTAGAGAATAAAGAAGAAAGCACCCTGAGACTGTCAGAATTGGCTGATCTGACCCCCATCTGTGGCATGTTTTTAATCGGGAGGGAGGGACATCTTGGTTGCGGAAGACTTCCATGAGGAGCAAGAGGTCCCAGCCCAATATCAGGCCCCAAGCCCAGGGTTCCAGTGATGGGAAGAGAACTTCTCGTGACTTCCTTCCAGATGTAAAAGCCAGTGGGGATTGTGTCTGAGTGACATGGAGGCTGCTGGAATCCCAGGCAGTTCCTTTTAAAGGGCTCATGCACGGACTTAGACTCATTCCCTCTGAGCTCCAGCGCTGGGGCAGCAGCATGAAAGGATCCAGGGACATATGGGGACATAAATTGTCTGGCAGCAGGGCAAGCCATCTTCTCCCTCCTTCTTTTGGTTATTGTTGGCATCTCTAACCCTTTTCCTTTTCAACTTCCTATAATTGTGTATTTAAGATAATAGCATATACTGTACTTGAGTTTTGTTTTTTATTCATCCATTTGGACCATCTTTACCTTTTTTATAATATGTTTTTGATGATTTCAGAGAGAAAACGGGAGGGAGAGAGAGATAGAAACATCAATGATGAGAGAGAATCATTGATTGGCTGCCTCCTGCACATTCTCTACTGGGGATAGAGCCCACAATCCAGGCATGTGCACTTACCAGAATCAAACCTCAACCTTCTGGTTCAAGGGTGGATGCTCAAGCACTGAGCCACCCTGGCTGGGTCAATCTTTATCTTTTAATTGGAGTACTTAGTCTGTTTAATGAATTTACTGATATGTTTGGGTTTAAACATGCCGTATTAATCTTTTGTCCTATGTATCACTTGTACTCTGCTCCTTTTCTCTCTTTTCCTACCTTATATTACATTAAGTATTTTTATCATTTCATTTTTATGCCCTATTAAAATGTTCATTATATATCCTATTATAATCCTTTCATTGGTTACTTAGGGATTATTAAACTCTAGTGCAAATTTCCCAAACAATGCAATGAACTTTGAACACTTTAAACACATTTGTCCCCTCTTGCCTCTTGTACTACTTTTACCTGTATTTTATTTCTATGTATATTTGAAACCCTATAAAACTTTTTATTTTTTTAATACAGTCATTGTATATTTACCCTTTTATCCCACTGCTCCATTCTTCTTGCATTTTCATGCCTACACCTTGGGATCATTCTCCTTCTGGTTTTACTTTTCCTTCTGGTGAAGATCTGGTTGTGATGTTTCTGGTAGTCTAGTTTTTGTCTGAAAATGCCTTCATTTCACTTTCATTCTTTTGAAAGATATCTTTGCTGTGTGTAGAATTCTGGATGACAGTTATTTTCTTTAAGCACTTTGAAGGTGTTATTCTATTATCTTCTGACTTTTTCCCCTTTTTTCACTCTGCACTGCCCTTCTATCTTGGAACTTGGTCCATCAAATCCTTGTTGCCTTCAAAAAGCTATACCCCTTGCCCTCACCCTCAAGCCCTTCTAATAGTTGTTGGCAAGAGGATTGGTCTGATACAAATAGTTTACTACAGCCAGAAGCCTACTGCTAACATAAACCTACTAAGTAAAGTTTTAAGATTTACTTGCATTGTGTTTTTTTAACCTTATAATTTACCCCATTAGGAATATAGAATCAGATTACTGTTTTCAAAACTTCTTGAAGTAATTCTTTTCTTTGTGTGGTTATTAAATTTTAGAAGGTTGGGTGCTAGCTTCAGCAGCACATATACTAAAAAAAAAAGGTGAGGAACAAGAATGAAAAGACTAAGAAGTAAGAATTATTTCAAAACTCTTTAAGATGAAATTTTTAAGGCTTTTGGAAGATGAGTAAAAGAAATAAAATTTAAGGTAAATAGAAATGGAATAGAAGTAGGCAGTTTAAAGATTAGAAACTTAATTGTAGATAAAAAGAAAAATAAATTTTAAAATCACAAATCAGATTAACAAAATGCATGATAATGCAGAGACTTTGAGCTAGAGGTCAAACTGTATCTTAATAAAAATAGGAATCCCAAAACTGAAAAAACAAACAAACCAGATGATGGCAGGTAACAGTATTAGAACTGAGAGTCCTTTAGAATGGAAGAAGATTCTGACAACTTTATGGAACTACCACTACCTATTGATTAGGGAAGTTTTGAAGCTGATCTGCAATCCAGGATCCAAGGAGTTTTCACCACAGCCCTGGAACCATTGCCCATAGAGGATGGTCAGTGCATGGCCACTGTGCAATGCAGATTGGTGTAGCCATTATGAAAAATGGTGTGGAGGTTCCTCAAAAAATTAAATATGGAATTGCCTTATGACCCAGTGATCCCACTTCTGGGAATATACCTAAAGAAACTAGAAACACTACTTCAAAAGAATATATATGCACCCCTATGTTCATTGCAGCAGTATTTACAATAGCGAAGATTTGGAAGCAGCCCAAGTGCTCATCAGTAGACTAGTGGGTAAGAAAGTGATAGTACATTTACACATTGGAATACTACTTTGGGCTGTAAAAAAGAAGGAAATCTTACCTTTTATGCCAGCAAGAATGGAACTAGGAGGGATTATGCTAAGTGAAATAAGTCAGAGAAAGACAAATGCCATATGATTTCACTTATATGTGGAATCTAATCCTATCTAATAAGGAGGAAATATGCTAATTGACCCTCACACCATTGCAAAGATGGTGGTGCCCACAGCCAATAAGGAGGAAATATGCTAATTGCTGCCCCACCCTCAAAGATGGCGGCACCCACAGCCAATAAGAAGGAAATATACTAATTGACTTCCATGCCCTCAAAGATGGCAGTGCCCACAGCCAATAAGGAGGGAATATGCTAATTGACTGCCCCACCCTCAAAGATGGTGGTGCCCACAGCCACAAGATGGCGGCACCCAGTCCCCTCAGCCCTGCTGGGGCACATGCCTCCAGAGTCCCCCAGTCCCCTCAGCCCCTCAGCTGCCCAGGGTTGGCTCGAGACACATGCAAGGTTCAGATGGTGGCTGCATAGCCGCCCTGGGCCACCTGAGGCTCAGGTAACCAGGGCCAGCTGAGACTTGCTCTGCCGGCAGTGGCAGCAGCAGAGGTGTGATGGGGTGTCGCCTTCCCCTGATTGCCGGGTCGCCTCCCGCCCCTGAGGGCTCCCAGACTGTGAGAGGGGGCAGGCCAGGCTGAGAGACCCTCCAGTGCATGAATTTTCATGCATCCGGCTTCTAGTGAATACAATAAACAAACAAAATAGAAATAGACTTATAGATACAGAGGACAGACTGATAGCTATTAGAGGGGAGGGTACTGGGGGACATGGTGACAAAGGTGAAGAGATTAAGAAGTACAAATTGCTAGTTGCAGAATAGCCACAGAAGTGTAGATTACAGTGTAGGGAATATAGTCCATAATATCGAGATAAATGGGTATAGGACTAGGTGGGTACTTGACGCAGCGGGGGGACCACTCTGTAAAGTACATAATTTTTTAACTACTTTGTTGTACACCTGAAACTAATAGAGAATGATATTGAATGTAAACTGTAATTGAAAAATAAATTAGAAAAGAAAAAACAAGGCCACTTTGGTCTCCAGCCAGACTCCCTGTCACCAGGATTCATGCCCCACTCTTCCAATTGGATGAGTTCATGAACTAATTTCCTTCTTGCCTAAACATTCTAGTGCTTCTCCCGTGGTTAGAACTTGGCTAGGTAAACCAATATCTTAAAAGGACTTGGATGGGAGAGGCAAAGGGGCTTACCCAGAATACCTGCAATAGGAGCAGTAATTACAGTGAAAGTAAGAAGCAGGAGTTGAGCTGCCTTGGTCGTCCAAGATCCTAAGTATTGCTTGCTGCATGTGGTGCATAAAAGATGTTAAAAATTGCCCTAGCCAGTTTGGCTCAGTGGATAGAGCATCAGCCTGCGGACTCAAGGGTCCCGGGTTTGATTCCGGTCAAGGGCATGTACCTTGGTTGTGGGCACATCCCCAGCAGTGGGTGTGCAGGAGGCAGCTGATCAATGTTTCTCTCTCATCGATGTTTCTGACTCTATCTCTCACCTGTCCTCTCTGTAAAAAAATCAATAAAAAATATTTAAAAAAAAGATGTTAAAAATTAAAACAACTTTTCACCCAAGGCCTGATTTGTGAAGCACTGGATGTAAAAAGATTTTCGAATGCAGAGAGCTGCCACCTGGCATTGAATTTGCTGTTTATAGTAATTTTTACTTATAAAAAATAGTGGTCATGCCCTGGCCAGTGGTGGCTCAGTTGGTTGGAGTGCCATCCGGAACACCAAAATGTTTTGGGTTTGATTCCTGGTCAGGGCACATACCTAGTTTGTGGTTTTGAGTCTTCGTTGGGCACATATGGCAGGCAATAGATCGATGTTTCTCACATCATTGCCTATCTCTATCTCTATCTCTAACTCTATCTCATTTCCCCTTCTTCTCTCTAGACATATACTCTGGTTAGGATTAAAACAAAAAATAGTGCCATGGCTGGTTTGGCTCAGTGTATGGAGTGTGGGCCTGAGGACTCAAAGGTCCTGGGTTCGATTCCGGTGAGGGCACATGCCCAGGTTGCAGGCTCAGTCCCCAGTAGGGGGTGTACAGGAGGCAGCCGATCAATGATTCCCATTCATCATTGATTCTCTCTCGCTCTTCCTTTCCCTTCCTTTCTGAAATCAATAAAAATATTTAAGTAAAAATAGTGATCATGTTTCATTTGCTGTATCTGCTACAGGCCATTGGCACTGACAGAATGTTTTTCCTTATTGATTTGCAGATTGAGAGAATCCAGAATCCAAGTCTCTGGCAGTACTACCAGACAAAGAAAAAAACCATGGATGACAAGAATGGCCATACACAAAATGAGAAGCTGCTCTTCCATGGGACAGATGCTGACTCCTTGCCACATGTCAATCAACATGGCTTTAACCGCAGTTATGCAGGAAAGAATGGTAAGGAAGTAAGTCACGTGGCTGCTCCAAAGGAGGTGTCAGCCATGAGAAGCCAAGCTGGCTCAGGGGTCCCGCGGATTGCATTGTGTTCCCTCATGGCTCATGGTCATGGTGCAGCCAAAGTTTCAGGTCAGACTCACTATGTTTCCTCCCAAAGGGACTGACTGACCCTTTGAGGTGGAGGAATGATTTTTTAAAATTAAACACACACACACACACACATTATTTTTAAGGAGGCTTTAGAAAGAACTGAACATTATATTAACATTATTGGACATTGAGTCAATACATCAAATTATAGACAAATTGGAATTCTTTAAAATGTTGTTTTTCTTTTCACAGCTGTGGCATTCGGAAAGGGAACCTACTTTGCTGTCAGTGCCAGTTATTCTGCCCATGATACTTACTCCAGACCAGACGCAAATGGGAAAAAGCATATGTATTATGTGCGTGTGCTCACTGGATTGTACGCACCTGGAAATCATTCATTACTTGTACCTCCTCCAAAGAATCCTCAAAATCCTCTTGACCTGTATGATACTGTCACAGATAATGTGAGCACTCCAAGTTTATTTGTGGTATTTTATGACTACCAGGCTTACCCAGAATACCTCATTACTTTTAAAAAATAACATTTTGGTATCCTTCACAGAAGACATTATTTATCTACACAAGTAATTTTCAACATTTTTCAACTCATGGCACACATAAACTAATTACTAAAATTCTGTGACACACCAAAAAATATATTTTTTGCCGATCTGACAAAGAAACGAAACAAAACAAAAACGGTATAATTTTTATTCATTCACACCAAATAGCAATAGTGTTGGCTGTTGTCATTAAAAATATATTTTTTTATTGATTTCAGAGAGGGATTGGGGGGGGGGGGGGGAAGAGAGGGAGAGGGGGAGAGGGAGAGGAGGGAGAGGGAGAGGGAGAGGGAGTGGAGGAGAGGGAAGCAGAGGAAGGGAGAGGAGGAGCGAGAGAATAGGAGAGAGATAGAGGACAACACCTGATGAGATTTCATTGATAGCCTACCTCCTGCACCACCCCACACTTGGCGGGAACCCTGCAACCTGGCAATGTGCTTCGGCCAGGAATCAAACCGTGACCTCCTGGTTCATATGTCAACGCTCAACCACTGAGCCACAACAGTTGGGCCCAATGTCTTAACTGTTTCCAGCTCTGCATGTCAAAGACTATTACTTCTGAGTCAAATGCTTTGTCCCAGAACAACTTTCAAATGTTTCTGACCTACACTAAGAAATACATTTTATATTAGGCTCAGTACACACACAGATATACCTGAAAAGTTTTATGAAATATATTTACCCTGAAAAAAAAATACTTTTCCTGCAAAGTTTCACAGAATACTTACATTTACTATTGAATTCATTGAAATTACCTATTATGTCCAATTAAAAAAAATGTTGGTCTCACTCACTAGATTGATTTTATGACTCACTAATGGGTCACAGCCTGCAACTTGAAAAACAATGGTCAAAGGAGTAACAAACATAAAAAATAAAATTTTTGAAGACAAATAGGATATGTATTTCTGCAATAGGGATATACCTATTAAGGTTCATGGACATCATACCCTTGGCTACAACATCCTCTGCCCCAGTGTATTTGATGGAGTATTGCCAACAAGGCATCCTTTTAACAATAACCTGCCCAGATATTTAACGAACAGCTGCCATATTCTGGTCACTGATCTGGCTCTGCGAATACAGCAATAATCAAAGTCCAAACCCTCATGCAGTGAGATTCTGGTTGGGGAAGATAAACAACAATCAAATCAATGGGTAAATATACAGTGATTAGATGGTGGTAAGTGCCACAGAAGGGTTTTTCCAGATCCTCCTTTCCTAGTCATGTTCACACAACACCTTCCTCCCTTGCTCTCACCTGGAAGGCAGTTTTTTATTTATTTACTGATACGTTCAATCTGAAGCCTGAGAAGGATGGGGCCAGTAGTGAGCTAATCAAAAAGGTGACTTAGTCAATCTTTTGTTATGTATTTGTTTCATAAGTGGTTATGCAGAAATCAATATGCTTTTCTAATTTCTAAATTCTTACAGAGTAATGGTAATAATTATCCCCAGATCTTGCAAATGTAATGAGTGGGATCAATTTCACCAAACCAAGCTTTTAGTCAGTTTCGGGTGTCAGTAGCATCCAGGCCTTTTTGTTCCTAGGGCTGATGTTCCTACATGTCCCAGTTCCTTCCATATTGGACCCCCACCTACTTTTCTCCTGATTGGTATCCTGCCCTGATGACAGGGATTAACAGCAAGAATTCTGCAGGTGTCAGAAGTGTGATCACTTCAGGTCAAGGCTAGAATCTACCCAGTGGATGAATTAGGCCAGGGGTTGGCAATTTTTATTTTCTGTAAGGGGATAGTGAAGATTTTCAGCTCTGTGGGCCATATCGTCTCTGTCACTACTCAACTCTGACGCTACAACCCTAACCATCATAGACAACATATAAACAAATCGCATGGCTGTGGTCCAATAAAACTTTATCACAAAAACAAGCAGCAGGCTGACCCCTGCTTAAGGCTGATGGAGGGATTATTTCCTGTTGAGAACACTTGGGGCTTACATTTGAAATAGGCTGAGGAGATGGGAAGGGAGAGGAAAGAAAAGGGCTCAGAAAGAAGGCCTCACAAATAACAAAGAGCCAGTTTGGGCAAAGAGCAATGTACATGCAAGAGGGTGGCAAGAGGCTGAAATTTAACGAGGCAAAAACAAGTACATATACAAGCCTGTGCAAACTGCTTTTCATTGTTTCATCTTTTAATTAAAAATCACACTATTTTAAAAATGTTTGAAATATTTAAAGTCATTTTCTATTACAATCACAAACTCCTTCCTTGTATCAAAAGTTGTGCCACTATCTTGGTTACTTGTGGATTCACCAAGCAGTCCAGTAAGTCATCTGTAGAAATGACTGTTTGGGAAGGGGCCATGGTACTATTTGAAGCAATGCGTTCCACAATTTCATTCTCACGTCCACTCATCATTCGTTGCTTCTTGGTACAGTGCAATTTGTCAAAGTGCTCTCCAGCTTTGCCAACAAAGTCTTTACCATCATTTTTAAACATGCCTCCTATTTCTGAGGGTGGATCTTCAGAACTCGGTAGTATGGGAACCAGATCAGGGCCAAAGGGAGTTGCTGCCTGCTCTCCTACTGTTCCCAAGGTTAAGTTCTGGCTGCCTGTTTGGTCTACCTCCATGAGGTTGTGCACGTTGAATTCTTCCTTTTTCAGGTTCTCTCCGTTTGTTCTGAGTGATTGGATTTCTACTGTCTCAGATGTTCTGTAATGATCAAAAAGGGCAGAAACAACTCTATTTAAGTAGCGACAATTGACTTCATGGGATGTTTCCTCAACCTAAGGAAAAAGAGAAATCTTTTAAGTGGTTAGATAAATTGGAAAATAAATCTAGTCAGGGTTGATTTATTACAGAATACCAACTGCCATGATGGAAACCAGGAGCGGCCTACCTCCGTTGGGTTTAACCAAGCCCTGGTACTGTGTGGGTCCTCTGCAGTTTTCAGGGCGCACACAAGTATGCGGGTGATTGCCTCTTCTACCCGAGCCTGGTGGTCCTCTTCCTAAGTTGAGATAAAAACATCATTTTTTCATTTGTCTCTCTGTCTCATGGCTTACAACAGAGACTAGAGTCCCTAATTGTGTGTTCTGTTCTCATCAACATAAGCTTTGTTACACAAGGAATGGCAGACCACAGTGTTTTATGTGTTCACTATCATCTGACATCTAGAAGAGCTGTGGAATAGTTCACTAACCAAACTTACATATATATCCTGTCTATAAGGCATAGGCCTTGAGTATGAACTGTCCTGTGATGTTTTTAACATTCTCTCTACTCTCTGACATGTCTCAAGCAAAAAAAAAAAAAAAAAAAAAAAAAAAAAAAAAAAAAATGTTTTTCTCTATAGGGGTTAATATGCTAATTATTTGAAGAGTGGAAGAAAATTTCAAATAAACATGCTTAGCCACAAGAATATAAATATGTGAAGACACAATAAATATAAATATAGCATTAATGAGAAATTGTACTAAAATTCACAACTTCTGTTCCTCAAACACATAAGAGAAAAAACAAACCAGATGCCTGTAACATCCATAATAATAAAAGGGTAATATGCTAATAAGACCAGATGTCTTCCAGACGTCATTCCGACGTCCTTCCTGATGAAGCTGGGGCCAGAGGGAAGCTAGCCCGGGTACAGGTGCCTGCCAGCGGTTGGAGGAAGAAAGCCCGGGTCCCGGATGTTGGAGGGAAGCCAGTACTGGAAGCTAGGGGAAGGAAAGCCTACCCTTGCACAAATTTTCGTGCATCGTGCTTCTAGTTTAGTATAATTGGTATGAGATTAATATCTGGAATACATAAAGAATCTGCACAGTTCAAAAAGAAAATGACCCATTTTTTTTAAATGGTCAAAAGACATGAAGATAAGCATTTCAATTAAAAAACAATTATATGACTAATAAACATAAAAATGTGCTTAACCTTATTAAAAATAGGGGAAATATAAATTATGAAACTAGTAAAAGAGGGTTTGATTATTTCAAGTGGTGGAAAAATGTGCACAGACAGAAATCTTACACACTGGTGATGGAAGTGCAAACTGACAGAACCATTTGGAAAACATCTTGGCATTATCAGTAAACTTGAGTATTATGTACCCTACAGACCACCAATTCCACTTTGAGAATCACACATATTCTCTAGAGAAACTTGTACTTTTGTACAAGAATATTCTATTTATAGAAGTAAAGAATTGTAAACAACCCAATTATCCATCAATAGAACAATGAGCCAATACAGTGTGGTATATTAACACAAGAAAATATACCACAGTGAAATGAATGAACAGCTCCATGTGACAACACAGATGAATCTTAAAAACATAATACTAAATTTTAAAAAGCAAATCCCCACAATGAGACACCACTTTACACTAGGACAGATATAATAAAAAAGATTGGTAAAATTGTGGAGGATCCAGAATCTTCTTACACTGCTGGTGGGACTGTAAAGGGTGCCGCTGCTTTGGAAAATAGCCTGACAGTTCCTCAGAAGGTTAAACATAGAGTTGCTGTATGTGATGGTTATTTTTATAAGTGAACTTGATTCGGCTATGGTGCCAGTTGTTTGGTCAAGCGTGGCAGAGATGTTGCTGTGAAGATATTTTCTAGATGTGATTGATATTTATAATCAGTTGAATTTAAATAATGAAGATTGTCCTCAACAATGTGGGTGGACCTCATCCAATCAGTTGAAGGCCTTAACAGCAAAAACTGAAATCATAATCACAAATGAAAAGAATTCTGTCATGATGGCTACTGAAAATAGTACTCTGTACCCAGTTAGTAGGATATAGTCTAACGATAAAAAAGATGCAAAAAAATACCAAATTTTACTGACAAGTTTTATAGTTTCTGAAAAGAAAGTCACATCTGAGTACTAGAATTTGGAATTGTAAATTCGACATCTGAAAAAACATTGGTGGATAAAACAAAGAAGTAAATATGTTACTGTTATTATGGACCCAGAAATTCAGTGTAAGAGAAGACTAAAGAAATAAATAAGAAAAATCCCTATAATGTTAACTTTGATTTAGAAGTATAGGTATATTTCTATCTATCAATCTATCAATCACCTACCTATCTATATCACATTCTAGCTTCACCACTTAGAGAGTCTGGAAACAGTGACACCAGTAGCAATGAGCAGCCGTAGAGCCCAAATCTGGATTTCTAAATACCATTCCCACTAAAAGGAACCTTGGCCACTTGGAGAAATTATTGACTTCCAAGTTTGGGGCAGCCCAAGTACAAGGCAATCCTGGGGTATCTACTATGTACCAGAAAGCAAGGATAATCTCAAAGATTAATGGTGACATACCAAAAGGGCACAAGCCAGCCTGAAGGAGTTTCACTAAAAGACTCAAATTCAAAATTATCTTGGGAAGCTGCAATACTCAACCAAATAGACATGATGAAAACTAAGAGAGATGACTAAAGAATGGGACTCAAATTTAAAGAACCAGCTTTACAGATTCAGGATGAAGGACAATCTGATGTGACTGTTGATCATGTGAGAAACACATGGATATTGTAGGGCTGGGTATGAGTCGCAAGTGAGATAAGATTACTAAAAAAGTTAATGTAGTATTATAAGCAGTACTGAAGAAATTTAGTATCAAAAGTCACATGAGGTAGAAATCTTATGCTCCACCAAATGAGGCCCACTGGTTTTCAGTTTTAGGTGCCGGACATTAAGAGGGCTATGCTCGGCATAACAGCTCTTTCTCCTCCTCATGGCAATTTCTATTTTTGAACACTTCCCATGTGCCAGGCACTGTATTAGATGCTTATACATGTTTTGCCCAATTTAAACCTCACAGCCACCCTACTGAAGTGTAATAATAATCCCTGTTCTACCAGTGAGGAAACTAGGCTTCATGGCATTAAGTAATCACCTAGGTTAGACAGCTAACAAAGGTATAGACCTGGGGCTTAAGTCTACCTAATTCCAAGTCTACAGCCAAAATGGTGGAGAGTCTGAAAAGAAAATCACATAAAACATCGTGCAATAAAAAGAGGTTTTGAGCCTGGAAGAGATTAAGGAGACACATCAAAGGTATTGTAAAATACTTAGAAAGGAAAAAAATTGTGTATAGTTTCAGAAATAATGGGTATGGCTGTAAGCAGGCAGATGACAGGCCCACTATTCAAGAACAGGATGAGCTACCTCGGGAGAAGCGGCATCTGTTGGGGTACTGCACATGTGACTGGTACAGGGAGTGGAAGTGGAGTCCATGGACTCTGCCTTGGCATGTGCTCCAACTCCAATTCAGCCTGCCACAAGCAGAACTTCGGTGAGTCTACTGATCTGTCCCACCTCTCACCTAACTCCCAAGGGCGACAGCTCTGCTCTAAGCTCACACAATACAGCTTCCTACTACTGTGTGTTCCACCAGAGCCCTTTCCATCACCAAAGGGTAAGAAAAGCCCGAATGAGAGGAGAATGCAGCCGCCAAGGAGAGGAGATGCAACCAAGGTGGGAGAGGACAGCGGAGATGGACTGAAGGCCTAGGTTAAAGAGGGCACAGGTGCAGTCGACACCTCTGGTGAAAGAGCGTATAGATGCAGTCAAGGCCTTGGGTTGAAGAGATAGACTTGAGCCAAATGGGCAGCCACTTTAATTGTGGAGTAGAGCAGGCAACCAGGACTAAGCATAGCATATCGGAGAGAAAAGGCTTCAGGCAGAAATGAAATGATAAAAACCTAGCACGACTCTGCTTTGAGAAAATGTATAAACCAGGACTGGGAATTGTCCAACTAGTTATGAGAGATCTGAATCAAGAAGCAGTATTTCTGGTCCAGATGGTGTGAGATGGGTCTGGCAACATGAGACATGCATGGCAGAGCCAGCCAGGCCCGCACAATCTAACAACACTGGTCAAGGGAAAAGACCCTGCAAGCCAACCTCAAGGCCCATTGTGTACCCTTAAAAGAAAGAATGGCACATCACTAAACATCCTGTTTCCATCCTAAACATCCATCCACAGAGCACAGAACACAATTTATGATACAGCAACACAAAGTAATACTGGAACGTTGGTTAAAATTAATCACGTTTTAGAAACAGACTTTGTGTATCTTAAAAGCAGGGAATACAATTATTAAGAAAAAAAAGTACCAATTCAATCCACGAGTTTATACTGACAGTGACAGGATCAACGGATTCTACATAATGCCACCAGTGTCTGGGAACAAACAGAACCTGAAAACCAAGTAAAGAATGGTTAGTACAAGTCCAGGACATTTTATTTTTATATCAGAATCAAAATAAAAGCCCAACTGAAGATACTAGAAAAAGTAATATAAATGAATTTACAGTAATATTGCTGTAATAAAGGAAAACAAGAAAAAAACCACAATCCTTTCATTTTCTTTTTTATTGAGAAATTCATCTGTTCTACAAAGGATACTGCCAGCTCCTCCAGTTTCTACTCTCCTTAATCCAAGACCTTATCTGTTTACATCTAGGTCTTAGTAAAGAATTCTGAGATTCTAATATTTCCTCCTTTCCATTGCAAAATAATTGCATGCATTCTGAGAAAGGGCCTAGGTAAAAAGATAGGCCATAGTTTCTGTCTCCTCACAGTCTAAAACCTAGCCAGTGGAAAAGTAGTACATAGAAAGGTGGTATAAGTGGTGAAGTAGATGAGTGGACACTGGTGCAAGGGAGCTTCAAAGGTGGGAGAAGCAGGCACGAACCAAGGTCAGGGGCATCCTGGATGGAGGAAGTGTGATTTGAACCAGGGCTGGTAGAGAGTTTAAGACAGAGAAAAGGATGAGGACCTATCAGGAAGGAGAAGTGGCACAGACAAGGGAGGTGGGACTGTTGATGCACAGCAACTAGGCCAGTAGGCCAGTCTTACCACTGCAGGGCCAGTCTTACCATTGCGAGAGATGAGGTGGGAGAGTTAGTTAGGTGAGGGTCTGTGGAGGGCTCTGAAATCAGAACACAGAGTCTGGATTTTATCCTATTGGCATTGGGAGTGGCTGAGAAACTTTGAGTAGGGGGATGGTTAAAATAGTGACATTATGGCACAGAGTGTGGGAAGGACGAGAGATTCTTGCAATAGTCCAGTTATTAAATGTTAAGATCTAAATAGGAAGGTATAGGAGACAAAAGCAATGGGCAGAGTCAAGGAGGACTGCGCTTGTCCAGACTCAGTATGAGATTTCCTCGGAAGGCTGAATAGAGCACATGGAGATGCCTCAAGCTTTTGGGCTTCAAATTTAGGAAACTGGTGGCACTGGATATGGACAAGCAGAGCTGGGATGTGGGAAGAGAGCATTTTTCAGTGAGACAGGACTAAACACAACCACTGGATTCCATCATTAGGAGGTCATGAATGTCCCATCACAGAGTATATTTTCAGTAAAGTAGGAAGAGAGAGAGCCAGTTTGCAGTGGATTAAGTAATGAGCAGGATGTAAGCAAATCTGATATAATAGACAAAAACACTCATTGAAATTTGGCTAATAAAATGAAAGAAAAAATGAATTACAACCACTTCACACCCACTAGAATTTTTATAACCATAATAACAGTAAAGAGAAATAACAAGTGTTGTTGAAGTTGTAGAGAAATTGGAACTGTCAGATGTTGCTGGTGGGAAGATATAATGAAGTAGATGGTGTGGAAAAAAGTTTGGCAGTTCCCCCAGAGTTACTAATATGACCCAGCAATTTCACTCCTATATATGTACCCAAAAGAACTGAAAACATATGCATGTACAAAAACTTGTACACAAATGTGCATAGCAACATTACTTATCATAGCCCAAAAGTGGAATCAACCCAAATATCCATCAACTGATTAATGGATAAACAAAAAAGATCTCCAAACAGTGGAATATATTCAGCCATAAAAAGGAATGAAGTACTAATAACATTCTACAGCATGGATGAACCCTGATAACTTTATGCTAAATGAAAGGAGCCAGTTCTCAAAGCTCATATGCTTTATTTGTGCACTTATGTGAAATGTCCAGAACAGGTAAATCTATAGGGAAAGAAAATAGGTAAGTGGTTGCCAGGGGTTCGGCAGGGGAAGGTGAAGGGGAGTAACCACCAATGGGTGGAAGCAACTTAGTCAAATTGTTTGTGTTGGCATACTCAAGTATGAAGGAAGCAGGAAGGGAGCCAGTGAAAAAAGAAAAAAAGAAGGAAAACAGGCAGGAGAGAGGGATAAGGGAGGGAATAAACTCTCTGTAAGAGTCTAAGAATACCTTTCAAGTTGTTAATGAAACATCAGACAGCAAATGCCAGTGTTGTAAAGGTGATTTTCCCTACTGGGTAGCAGCACTAGATACAATACTTTTGGAAATGTTTCAGAGACAATTACAAAAGCAACATCCACTCTTGCTTAAAAGCAAGTCAGTCTGCCTCTGTAATGCCTCTGCCTCCTAGATGCACCACAACGATATGTGTCTGGGTTCTAGCACGGTTGAACAGATATTAACTGAATAAAGGTTCCAGAAGTGCTCAAATACCCATGCCTTGACACTTACTCTTAACATGAAAAAAAGAAAATGACTTAGAGAGCTGTCTTCCTCCACAATGCATTCTCTTCTTTACCAGTAGGAAGAGCTGTGATCCCTGCTCCCATCTTTCCATGACCTGAGAAGCATGTATATGCAGTATGTATGTGAAGCCTAGAGCTGGAAAAGCTACCTTCCAATAGCAGAGCACCAAGGAAGAAACCCTTCTTATTTGTACTAGTACTATGTAGGGGAAGGTGAGGAAAGGGAGAGGCACGTGTTCTAAGGCCATGAGACAAGTCCCAGCTTCCGCATTACCTGTCCTGGGCTCAGTGTAACCACATGTCTTCGAGCTTCCTGAAACTAAGGAAAACCTTTTACATCAGGATTGACAACATTGACTTTACTAAACACATTAGATTCTTCATAAGGGACTCTAGTTGGATAAAGGAAAGGAGTATCTTCAGGGGGAAAGAGATGCTATCTTTTCCTAATTTAAACAAAAAAGACATAAATTAGACTCTGAACTTGAGACAAAACATGTAAGAAGGCCACAGTAAATATTCGTTTTTACTCATTTTCATTCAATCCATAAAGGAATAGAGGAGCAATGTCAGTGGTCACTTGGGCCACCTCTCAGTAAGTGCTGGCATCTCTGCTGAACAGAGTGGAGGGAGGGCAGGAAGCAAAGAATAATCTCATGATGCCCTGAGGTAGCCCTTTGCTGGGACAGGATCTAGTTTGAAAGGTCATTCTTTCTTCCCAAATCAAAGTCCTCATAAATTGTTCCTATTCCTCATTCTAGAGCCGTGGTCGCCAAACTGCGCTCGCAAGTCACATGCGGCTCTTTGGCCCCTTGAGTGTGGCTCTTCCACAAAATACCACGTGCGGGCACACACGTACAGTGCGATTGAAACTTCGTGGCCAATGCGCAGAAGTCGGTATTTTGTGGAAGAGCCACCTAAGGGGCCAAAGAGCCACATGTGGCTCGCGAGCCGCAGTTTTCTGAGCCGCAGTTTGCGGACCACTTTTATAGAGTAACTCAGAGCAATCCCCACCCTTTCAGATATCTCTATTCTTATCTTATCCAGAGTGACCACCTGTAGTTTTATCCTCCAAATAGTTTCCAGACTTCTTCCTGTTTGGTAAATTTAAGTTAAACATTTGGTATGTTAATCCATTAAGGAAGACAAATGCATAAATGATGCCACATAACTAATATAGTATAGTATAATAGAGGAGTTTTCAAAAAGAGAAAACTGTAAGAAGTTTCAGTCACTTTAAAAATTTTTGAAAAATGGAGGTGATAAATTTTAACTTACACAACACCAGACACACCCATACTTCCAGCCAATAGGGGGAGGGCATGGGAGGTAAAGGAGGAGCAAGTGTCAAAAAGAAAGAGACACAGAAATACATTGGTGGGGAAGCAAAGAGAAAGACAGATAGAAAAACACACCGGGTTCTGAGAAAAGCCCGAAGCCCTCTCGTGACCCAATGCAGTTCCACTGGGGCTGTCATTCTTTTCTGGAAGCAACCTTAGCTGGTTTTGCTCAGTGGATAGAGTGTCAGCCTGCAGACTGAAGGGACTTAGGTTCGATTCTGGTCAAGGGCACATGCCTGGGTTGCAGGCTTGATCTTCAGTAGGGGACCAGGAGGCAGCCAATCAATGATTCTCTCTCATCACTGATGTTTCTATCTCTCTTTCCCTCTCCCTTCCTCTCTGAATCAATAAAGATATATTAAGAAACAACAACAAAGAACTGGGAAGCAGTTGTCTGCCATTTTCAAACTAGGGTGTATACACTCAGGTCTCATTTTGCTTTAGAGATGATAAAGCTGCTCCATTCCACTATACCTATGACTAGTTTAGAAAAATGTTGGATATTTAGTATGATTAGAATGTTGGAAGGACTCTTAAGAGATCATCAGTCTAATTTTACTTGCAAAGTAGTGGAAGAGGGACCCAGCACTTGCTTGGGTCTTCCACTGGGCTAGTGTTAACGGTAGGGCCAGAGCTAGGTCACAGCTCTCCTGACCTCTCCAGGTACCAGCTCCTACCTCTGCCCCATAGCTGTGGTTCCCAAAGGAAGAGCGATAATGATAACCAGGCCATACAATTTGCTTGGCTTGGCTTAAAGTGTAACATATATGCATCCTTCTTTTGCTAATCAGAAAGCATAGTCAATCCATATGTCAAACCCTGCTCAAAAAGCCCTCATGGTTCGGCATGCTGAAAGAACAGAGAATAAGCAGTGTTTGCCTGGGAGGCAAGACCCTTAGGACCCTTTCTGCTTTTCCCTCTGTGCTGCCCTATAAAAGCCCTCAAAGGCCAGGAGAAGAGACTGGGGAGTCATTAATTAGGGAGAAATAAGGCTGCACATACAACAGCCAGAGTACATCTCCAAACTGGCAGGAACACTTACATTCCTACATAACTCCTAGAACCAGGGGCTATCAAAAGTATTAGCTGACTTAGCTCTTATGTCTCTTAGGGTCCACAGATAGGTGAAGATACAAAACTGACCCAAGTTTAAAAAAAATATTGCCTTGTGTCTACAGGTAGGCACAAACTAAAACTTAAGAGGTGAAAGAGGCAGTTCTGGTCCAGCAGTTCTCAAACTAGGCTCCCTGGCATCGCCTCAGGGGCCGGGGGGTGGCAGCAGTCTCTTCCTTTCGACAAACTGCTCTGTTCGTACTTGTTTAGGCTTGAAGGAAAGGTGTTCCTGCTTTTAAATAGAAGTTTAAAAATTATGCAGACTCTCATGTAAAAGAGTAAGCAGAGCACTATCTCACTGAACTGAGATTCTAGGATCAGCTTTCTGTTGTTCTTAATCCTCACCAGAGGATATTTTTTCATTAATTTTTAGGGGGAGTGGAAGAAAGAGGGAAAGACAGAGAGAGAACAAAGAAGGAAACAACCAGAGGTCAAGAGATCCGCCTTGGTCATGAGGCAGGCTGACAGGATGGGGCTGGAGCTAAAACCTTGGGGTCCTACCGCCCGTTTCGTACTGGTTCCTCTTCCTGTGCAACACACAGAGATACACTAGGCACGCAGACACACACACTCTCATGCATGGGCCTGTGTGTTACCTTCCTTGTACCTGGAATACCAAGTTGCAACCATATGAATCCAGATGACAGGGTGTGTGAGCCCCCAGGGAGCCAATCCACAATGTACTTTCCCGTCCATTTCTTCCACGAAACCCGAAGTCAGACCATATCACATCCTGTTTTGAAAATAAAGTTATAGTCCATTAAGAATCAACCAATTCCTCTGTATGGTAGTGTTGCACATTAGTCTGACATAAACCCAAACCCATGGAATTAAAAAATATATATAAGCTAGAAGAGAGCAAACTAGTGAACCAGCTTGCAGGTTTGGTTTTATTCATTTTTTTCAATCATAATCATTTCCTACTGTGTTTAAGAAAACAAGAAAACTTCCATGCACAGAACATAGTCCTACATGCTGACACTTCTTTTATCAGTATCTTCAATCTGTATTTTCTATTTTTAGAGGCAAACCATTAACAGCTGTATTCAGAGAAAGAATATTTTGGGGAGACAGTTAATGGATGGTTTTGAGGAAGATTAGAATGAACATTTCCATTTTTGTTCTGAGTGATGAAAATAGCGGAACATGTGAACATAACTAAGGTCTGTTACAGAAGGGGGAATTTTCGCAAGGTCAGCACCACTATAAATGCCTATGGCTCACGTGCAGCCACTCCAGGGAGTGGCAAAAGTCATGTGTCTTCTGGATATAGCCCATAAGCTCCACGCAGTGACTCAGCTCTGCATTCCCAGAGTCTAAAATTACACCTGCCTCAGGGTGAGTGCTCATAACACTGGCTGCTTGGGAAGGAGAGAAGAATCTGTGGCCTGGTTATGGGTAAATGGTTCAGGCCAGGAACATTTTAAAGCATCTATCACATAGTTGGTATGACATTGGGTGTTTGGGATATAAAAATTAATGCAACCCAGGCCCAGCCTTCAAATCTAATAAAGAAAGATAGTCCCATAAGTGGAACCTTTCACTATAATGTGGCGGATGCTCTGACAGAAGTGAGCAGATAACCAAAGAAGGACGCCTGGTCACCAGCAGGGAGCTTGGGGAAGGCTGCCAATGAACCTGGGTCCCTGTTGAACAAGTCACCACACCTCAGTCTGGAATTTAGCTAAAGGCAGCTTAAAGACATGTAGTATAAAAACAAAAAGCAGGGGTTTGCCCTAGCTAAGACGCAGCTGGTTTAAGTGATTCTTAATCTTCTTCTAAATACACTCCCTTGGGAATCTAATGAATGCCAACGCCCCTATCCACAGAGAAATGCAAGCACACACAAAATTTCTTGTTTTGCGGGAGTCGAAGCACTGACTGCAGGTGAGAAGCTCTGTTCCACAGCACTGCTTCAGAAAGAACCACAGAAAAAAGGTTTTCTACAGGATGGGGGTTGAGGGGGAGCGGAGTTAATATATGAGAAACTGACAAGAGGTTTCCCTGACCTCTTATCTACCACAATATTGATTAACAAAGGGAAATTGTTTGGGAATGATTAGATCAAGGTGACCTAAACTACCTAAAATTTCAGCAGCATATTGGCTGGGAAACACCAGAGGAGGAAGAGTTGGGGAGGCGGGTGATCGGGTTGCAGAGAAAGTGTGAATCAAAGTAAATTTGTCAGGAAACGAATAGCATTTTGTTTCTTTCCCCACAGGCTCTTAAGAGTTGGGCCTTTCTTACCAATCGAGGTCAGCTACTTACAGGTAGCCAAATGTCTGAAATCAATATAGGCCCAGGAGGAATCAGCCTCAAGTCTTGCTAAAAACAAGTGACCCCGTTAGGTCACAACATCAGTGAAACCAACACAGGGGATTGATGGGGTGATCCACCCTGGAATCTATTCTCGCATCCACCTCAAGCACTGGAAAAGTCTTTTTTTTTTTTTTTCTAATATATTTTTATTGATTTCAAAGAGGAAGGGAAAGAGAGAGAGAGACAGAAACATAAGTGATGAGAGAGAATAACTGATTGGCTGCCTCTTGCACGCCTCCCCTGGGGATCAAGCCCACAACCCAGACATGTGCCCTGACTGGGAATCGAACCATGATCTCTTGGTTCATAGATCGACATTCAACCACTGAACCATGCCAATCAGGCCAGAGAAATCATCTATATCCAGAAAATCTTTATTGTTGAAAGTATTACATATGTTCCCTTTTTCCCCTTTGACCTCTTAACAATAAATGCTATGTAAAACTTATAAAGAATAAATATTTCAATTTAAATTTCAAACAACCCTTAAATGGACATTACAAATTAGCAAGTACTTAAGACTCTGTTTTTCCTTAGGAAATTACCTTACGTAACATAAGCAGAAAACAGGTAGGCTTGGATGAACACCCAAATTCTTACATTCCAATTTGTTTCATCAGAAAGCATTACTGGCTGTCAAACAAATCCCTTTAAATCATTACTAAACCACCTGGTTCAATTTCAACATACTCTCATAAGTATGTTATACAGTAAAGTCCAAGACAGTTAGATAAAACTAATCTTCCATGTATTGCATTTTGGGATTCTGTGTCCTGGTGATTTCCTGACTCTCAGTAGCTAATCTGAATCACAACATAACATGGAACCTACCTGAAAAACATTCTTGGGGCAAGATCCCTTTTGCTATATATTGATTCTTTTTTTTTTTTTTTAAATTAAATCTTTATTGTTCAGATTATTACATTTGTTCATCTTTTTTCCCTCCCATAACTCCCCTCCTCGCAGTTCCCGCCCCACCCTCCGCCTTCACTACCCACCCACTGTCCTCATCCATAGGTGCACGATTTTTGTCCAGTCCCTTCCCGCATCTCCCACATCCCTTTCCCCCCCAAGAATAGTCAGTCCATTCCCTTTCTATGTCCCTGATTCTATTATAATCACCAGATCATTCTGTTCATCAGATTATTTATTCACTTGATTCTTAGATTCACTTGTTGATAGATGCATATTTGTTGTTCATAATTTGTATCTTTACCTTTTTCTTCCTCTTCCTCTTCTTAAAGGATACCTTTCAGCATTTCATAGAATCCTGGTTTGGTGGTGATGAACTCCTTTAGCTTTTCCTTATCTGTGAAGCTCTTTATGTGACCTTCTATTCTGAATGATAGCTTTGCTGGATAAAGTAATCTTGGTTGTAGGTTCTTGGCATTCATCACTTTGAATATTTCTTGCCACTCCCTTCTGGCCTGTAAAGTTTCTGTTGAGAAGTCAGCTGACAGTCGTATGGGTATTCCCTTGTAGGTAACTGAGTTTCTTTCTCTTGCTGCTTTTAAGATTCTCTCTTTGTCTTTTGCTCTTGGCATTTTAATTATGATGTGTCTTGGTGTGGTCCTCTTTGGATTCCTTTTGTTTGGGGTTCTCCGCGCTTCTTGGACCTGTAAGTCCATTTCTTTCACCAGGTGGGGGAAGTTTTCTGTCATTATTTCTTCAAATAGGTTTTCAATATCTTGCTCTCTCTCATCTTCTGGCACCCCTATAATTCTGATGTTGGTACGCTTGAAGCTGTCCCAGAGGCTCCTTACACTATCCTCGCATTTTTGGATTCTTTTTTCATTTTGCTTTTCCGGTTGGGTGTTTTTTGCTTCCTCGCATTTCAAATCATTGAATTGATTCTTGCGCTCTTCTGGTCTGCTGTCGGGAGTCTGTATAATATTCGTTATTTCAGTCCGTGTATGCTTAATTTCTAGTTGGTTCCCCAATATAACATCGAGGGTCTCATTAGTTTTCTTGTAGATCTCATTAAGTTTATCGTCGGCTTCTAAACAGTTCTTGAGAGACCTTAAAAGTGTGGTTCTGAACTCTATATCTTCCATTGACAATTTTGTCCTGTTTCTTTGTCTCCGCATTTTGTTATGCTTCCTTGGTGCACCCCCTAGTGGTCTTTGTTCCCAGTCTTACAGTTAAACCTTGATTGTTGTAGCTAATACCAGGGAGGGTTTGACCTCCAGGCCAAGTGGCTATGAGAATCAGCTGTGTCAGCAGTGAGAGAACTTCTGTCCTCTAGGGAGGTGCTAATCTAGCCTTTGCCTGAGGCTATCTGGCAAATGCCTCTGTGCAGGGCTTGGGCGGGGCGGGTCGAACAGGATCAACAGGGTGGGCCAGAGAGAGCAGTTATGGCGGCTCTCAGTCCTGTCCCCAGGGGCTCTGCCTCTCTGAGTCCCAGCGACCGCTGCAAAGCTCGGAGAAAGCTGCACTCGCTCTGACCGAAGCCAGACAGTCCCGCTTCTCCCGTTTGAGTCTGGGTCCCTAAAGACTCGCCTGTATCTGGAGCTCAGAGTCTGCGACTCCCTCCCAATTGAAAACGCCAACCGCGCCCTCCGCCGCCAGCCCGCTCCGCGCACTCCGCACCTCAGAAATTGACTTCAGCACTGCGCCTCCTCTGAGTGTCCATATGCGTTTCTCTTTCCTCCTAGTTGTAGGACTTCCACTCAGCCAGCGTTCCTGTGGTTCTGGGTGATGGCCGTTCCGTCTTTTAGTTTCACTTTTGAAGTAGTTGTTCAAAGCAGCAAACTCCGGCATTAACCTATGCCGCCATCTTGGTTCTCCCCTATATATTGATTCTTAATAGCTTCAATTGTGATGATACTCATTGATAATTATAAAAGGTAACACACCTGTCATTCTTAACCTAATGAATCAGAGGTAAAGAAATTTTATATGGAATGTCACAAATTCCCTACTTTCCTTGGGAAGTAGAACACAAAATGTTTCAAATAAATGCTTTACTTAGATTAGTCAATGATATGATACATAACTAAAAATTAGTGAGACTTATTAATTTCATTTTCCACTCATGAAAGTCAGTTAACTGTCAATATCCTAATTTTGATCACCGGACATTTTCCAATAATATTAACATATTTGCCGGTGTATTTACCAGTATGTGTATTGCATGTTTATCAGTGGATGATTTTAATTTGTGAAATAACATGGTTAATAAATGGAAACTTTAAGTAAAGCTAAGTAAAAACTTATAAAACTAATAGAAGGCTGAAGAGAGCTAAGAATTTCATATCAAGATTAACAAATGCTATAATTGATTAACTAGAAGCCACAGAAAATTTGACAAGGGTGAAGCTAGGGGTTTAAGTTAAAACATTCTTTGGAGGGCCCTAGAGACCAAAGAAATATCAAAACAAGAAATAAGAAAAAAATACACTTATGTAATCATTC